ACCTCTCTTGCCCACTGTGAGTTTTCAAAGATAAAGACCAGCAGCTCTGCAGTCACATCAGCCAACTCCCTCAGCACCCCTGGGTGCATCATGTCTGCCCCATGGACCTGTACACACTCAGCTTTTCTAAATTGTCCCTAACCTGTTATTTCACCATTGTTGGCTGCTCACGTTCTCCCCAGACTCTGTTGCCTGATCCATTCTTCTAGAGCTGACCTTGCCTGTGAAGATTAAGGTGAAAAAGGCACTGAGCACTTCTGCCTTTTCTGCATCCTCTGTCAGTAGGTTGCCTCCTCCATTCAGTAAGGGACCTACACTCTCCTTGATCTTCCTCTTGTTGCTAACATACTTGTGGAAACCCTTCTTGTTGCCCTTCACACCTCAATTCAGAAGCTCTCAGTTCCCAAGGGGAGCTGGAAACCTGAACACTTGACCTGAGCTGCTGCCACAAGGTCCTGGCATCACCCAGTTTAGCCAGACCTGTGTTGCTCAGGCAGGTGTGTGTACACACTCCTTGTGATGCAGGGACACTAGTTGTGCAACACAGTTGATTGTGTAGCTTTAGCAACAAGTTAGGCAGATACTTGTTTGGGATCCTTTGTATAGGGGTGACTGTCTTAAGCAGGAGGTTGGACTAAATGATCTGTGGAGGTCTCTTCCAGCTCTACTTTACTTGCCTTTTTCAGTGGTCTGCTAATGAGTATGGTGTACCATATTTTATGATGTATAAGTCCACACAGTGTACAAGTCAACCCCATATTTCTGTAAAAAAGTTAGGATTTTTGTAGATCTGGTGTATAAGCTGACCCTGCTTCAGTGTGCGAGGTGCTGGAAGCCTGGGCAGGCTCGTGGGTGTGCTGGCAGGCTCTGGGGATGTTGGATCAGGCCTCTGGGAGCTCAGGCAGCACACAGCCCACTGGCAGCCCTCCCAGCCAGCACTGGGGGGCGCTGCCGCTGCAGAGGAAAGGACTGCTCCCCCTGCCCCCCCAGCTGAGGGGCTGCTCAGCTCCATGGAAGCTCCAACACCGCGCACTGCCCATGGGACAAGCCAGCCCCTTCCCAGGAGGCACTAGATGTCATGCCAAACACAGGAACCTGCTGAAGGCAGAAGCAGAGAGGGGCTTGATTCTGCTTTCAGTAGAGCCTGCCCACCCTCCTCACGGGCCATGTGCTGCCCGAGCTCCCAGGGGCCCAATCCAATTTCCCAGGATCCTGCCAGCACCCTGCCTTTCTGTGTGGCATGGCGCTGGCACAAGGTCCAGGCAGCACCACTTGCAGGAGATGGTGTGTAAGTTGAGGTGGAAATTTAAAGGTAAATATTTTGGCTTCAAACCTCAACTTATACACTGTAAAGTATGGTTGTTGTAATTTTGCTCATAGAAATGCTCAAAAAGGCTGTGTGTGTCCTGACAATCCCTGGCTATGCCAGGGTCTTTTCTCACTAGTCTGGAGTTACTGATGTGCTTTCAGTCTTGAAGGCCTCTGCCACACATTACATATATTACACAATTTACTGCAATCACATAATAAATTTAGACTAGCCACATGTACAAAGTAATTAGCACACAATCCACTGGCTAATCACTCAATAAATTTAGACTGGCCACAAGTGCAAAGTAACTATCATTCTATAAAATGTCCATCCAGCAATAAAAACAGCCAATCAACTATGAAGTTAGTGCTTGAAAATATGTAACAACTTTGTAGTCAGTTTCTATCTAGCTTGAATTTGAATGCGTGGCAGGGCTGAAGTCTCTGCAACTGTGGTGATGGCCAGAAGTCACTACCATGGGATCCCAACACTAATCTTGTCTTAAAGAGTGGCCACAGGCTTGGTTCAGTGATAAAATTGCAGCCAGGTTTATTGTTTACAAGACATGGCCCTAACACACTTGTGGTCTGGCAGACAAGTTATTAACGCATGTGTGGGCATGACAAGGAATTGGCAGAACACCATGCAGGATCCCTAAGCCGATACAAAGTTCCCTTCATATCTAATTTTCCTTTTCTACAGTGGTCAAAACTCATTACACATTATGTGCCACCAATACCTGGACTACCTTGAGCTGTCCTGTGCCATGGGCCTGCTCCACATCCTGATCTGGGGGTTCCTGTTCCAGGCTTATCATCCTGGTACTGGGCTATTCTCCACATTGTACAGCCATCTCCCCCTCCCAGTCTCTGATCGACATGTCGGGTTTCACTTTTGCAAGTTCAGGCATCAGTCAGGGTCACTAATCAGACTGACTCTGGCCAATGCTTTAGCAAAGCCTTTGCATGAACAGTATCTATATATTGACTGAATATTCCAGTGAGGCTACAGCCTGTGGATGCTCTTCCCCCCCAGCAGGTGCAGAGACCCTGAGCTCAGCTAAGGAGCAGTCTCCTGAGGAACGGCCTGTAAACCTGGAGCTGCTGAGTCCATCCCCAGGAAGATCAGGGGCAAGGGGACCTCTGACACCTGTTCCCAGACAAGTGCATGAGAAGCTGGGCAGGTGCCCACAGCAAAGAGAGAACATGGATGTGGGCAAGGTACAGAGCGCAGTGGGGTGGGATTTGTGAGTCAGGGCAAAACCTCGTAAGCCTCAGGTGTGTGGGGAAGAGCCAGAGCTGAGAGACCTGAAAAGCCACAAGAGGAAGCTCCACCAGCAAGAGGCCTGGAACCAAACCGAGCCGGCAGGGAGGGCCTGAAGAGAAGCAGGAGCTCCCTGGGAGGCTGGGACTAGAAATACTGGTCTCAGCACTAGGGGTGCACCAACAGAGATTTTGGGGGTCGATACCAATAGCTGATTTTTAAGGAGGCATATCAGCTGATACCGATCCAATTTCTGGATACAGCTGCATGCAGCTGGTAAGTCTATTGTGGTGGAAGGGGACGGGGGAGGGAAGGGGCGTGGGGGGGCAGATCATGCCCCCTGTGGTGAGGGAGGGTGTGGGGCAGGCAGGGGCAGGCATGGGACGGAGCCGCAGCTCACCTGGGGGGCACAGGGAGGTTGTGTGCCCCCTGGATCTGAGCGGGGCAGGGCAGGCCGGACCCAGGGCTGTGCTGGGCTCTTCCTGGCAGGGGCTGGGTTCAGGGAGGGTGGTGGCACTGGGTCAGGGCTACTGTGGGGCGCTGCAGCCACTCCAAATTTCACTGTAGCCCCCCTCCCAACCCCGGCTCCCAGCGCTGCCGCCACCCGCCCAGCACAGCCCTGGCTCTTCCCGGTGCATGGGTGGAAGCGGGGGCTGTGCTGGCCACCCTGAGCCCAGCCCCCACCGAGAAGAGCCCGGCTCCAGCTGGCAGCTGCAGCCTGCCCACCCCACCCTGCACAGATCCAAGGCACCCCCCTGTGCTCCCCAAATAAGCAGTGGACAAGTGGCATGCAGCAGCGGTAGCTGTCCCCCTCTGCACCCCACCATACGAGCTGCGGCTCCGTCCTGCACCTGTGGCCACCCCTGCCCCACTCCTTCCCTCACCATGGGGGGTGTTGATCTGCCCCCCACACCCTTTCCCTCCCCCCTCCCCCTCCACCACAATGGACTTACCAACTGCATGCAGCTCTCCACACTGCCGGGCTGTGCTCCTTGCTGCCTGCATGCTGCGCTGCAGCTGCAAACACACACAGGAATTTATCAACCAAATTATCGGCCACATGGGGCTGATTTCTGATACAGCCGATTTTCTTCATAGCGGTGCCAATCCAATATCGGACCGATGTATCGGTGCACCTCTACTCAGCACCTTTGGGTCTAACGCTTCCTGCCACTGGAAGCACTGCCTCCGCTTCCTCCGATGGCTGCTTCAAGAGAGCATTTTAAGACTGGGGCCCCAGGAGCGAGCCTCTCTGGGCACTCTGTGGCACCTAGCCAGCACCAGGAGGGAGCATGGGGTGAGGGTCTCCTCAGCTGAGCCCACAAGGTTCCCCTTGAAAAGCATGAAGGGGCTCTGCACCTAAGTCCAGTAGGTTTCCTCCAGCCCAGGCAGTGCCAGGGTATCACAAGCTGACAGTTTGCTAGGAATGAGCCATGTTCCTGACTCCTGGAGGAAAATCCAGGATCAGCGTGCCAGAAAGGGAAATGAATCCCAGTCTCCTGGCACCAGTGTCTGACTGGAGTAAAGGACAAATTCCCAGAGTTGCTTATATCTGTTGGACCCACCCCCTATCCAAGTCTGTTAGTGTAAGTTGTGCCCAAGGAAAATGGACACTTTGTGATTTGGAGAGCGATAATATCATCGTCTCTGTGCATGGGGTTGGAATGCCACAGCCCCCTTTTTCTTCTGCTTCTAGGCTGCATTTCCACTGAGTCCCACCTGCTTCATCCCACCCCAGACCATTAGGAATCCTCATCCCCCGCTCCTGGCTCTACTCCTTCCCCTGCCCTTCATTTCCACTCCACACCCAGACACAACAGGGATGGCTGCAGCAGCCCCAGATCATGCAGGATATTGGCAGGGAGGCTCCCTGTATTTTGTGAGGGTACTAAATCTCCTGGGATTTGGGACCTGAAGAGCTCCCCACCCCAGAGCCTCATGGAGAAAAAAAGAAGAGTCCTGACACCACCAACACTCAGTGTTTCCTGGGCCATGTCTGGTGGAGAAGGGTGAATTCCCAGGGTCCCCCTCCCAGGCAGGGTATTCTCCCTGTGAGTCACTGCTGTAAAAACAGCTTCCCCAGAGGAGACTTGGAGGCCCTGGACTGCCGTCTCGCTGGTGGTGTTACAATGGCAGTGCCTCCCTTGCAACCTATACTAACAGGGAATAGCTGCACTGATTCCCTGGATGACGTGAGCTATAGCAGACAAATGCACTGCTCTGTCTATAGAGCTGTCTCCATACCAGACCCTTTGCTGGAGCAGCTGCATCAGCTGAGCAGTAAGACTCAGGTTTGTGGAGGCTGGGGAAGAATCTGATGCTGTAATGCTTATGACTGCAGCTCCCGGAGGCCTTTGAGGATGTGGCCGTTTATTTCACATGGAAAG